AAATGTCACTGTCTCTGTGTTTAATTGTATAATTGTTTTGCGGCCTTGTATTTCCCATGACAGTGAAATTATATTAGGTATAAATTTGCTAACATTAAGGTCAAATTTCTTACCATATGTCAAAAGTAGTGGAGATTTCACAATACTTTTACTAAATTTTAAATTTTAGCCTGTCACATGCTCTTACAAGTAGAAGCGTCAATGAACTTATTTCAATTACAGCCCCGCATTTTCAAACCCCGAGCAATCAATGTTAGAGGGACATAATCACAAAAATTGGAAATAATGGAAAATAAGAATTCGCTCAGCAGCAGTTTCATTCAACATGGAATACGCGCTAGAGTGAATAATAAGTGTACAAGTAATTTTGTTTGATAATGAGAACCTTCCTTTTATTTAAAATACATAGTGAAATAGTTTCATCGTTTAAGAAAAATTTAGATTCTGATWTCGAAGCGTGCGTATCCTTGTTMAGAGGGGAACTTCCGCGTGAATTCAACTCATGGATTTGCAACATACGCAATCGTATGTACGTCCATATCGTGGTGTTAAGTGATTGGTGGTTCAGGATCACGTGAATGTGACGTCATCTTAGTAAAGACGCATGCACCCCAAAGAATCGATGCTGCTTGCCAACCGTGATAGAGTCACGGAGGTCTGGAATAGACTCGGGGTGGTTTCTATGGTAACTGTCAATCAGAAGAAAGTGATCGTCATAAGTCGTATACTCAGACTATATTAAGTCGTTGGGCTGCGTGTGATATAGGTGCTCGTGCGTAGATAAAACTGTATAATGACAAGTTATAAGTTTCATGTGAACTACAGACTTACTTGAAATGTGCGTCACTTTTAAACTTCATTCCCACCATTGCAGGTAATTTTTGTCTTCTTATTAGCTTGGTGTCGTGATCTCTTAGAGCWGGAAGGTTCCTGGTATCTTGCTGYACTTCTCTCGGGATGGTGATTATTTGAGGTGTGTCGTATGTCTTCTTTTTACCAAAATCTGTTACTTTAGGTAGCATAAGTGCGAATTTATGCCTCGCTACAAAATCTTTTGGGTTTTGTTTTGTGAAGTCGATTGGTTTTAGTTTTTGTGGTGCTGGTTCTTGTATCTTTTCACTCTGTAAATCGCTTACTGGTGACTTGTCTGGAGCTGTGTCATCAGTGTCCTCTTTTGCACCGTCGTCGTCGTCTTCTTCTTCTTCCTCGTRGTCCTCTTTCATATCTTGCTTATTTGTGTTCTTGACGAGTATGTATTCCCATGGGTTATAATGCTGGAAGCTGCTGCGAGTTTTATCGTTCGTTTCTGGATGCTTATAGTTGTTTTGGTATTCTGTTTGCCGATAGATTCTGTTGGACAGCTGGTCAAGTGCAACTTTTGTTTCTGGYTTGATTTCCTGGAAATATAKATTYAATMGMTGGACTGAGTGAATGYATGTGTGGTAAAAAAGGGTTCACATTTATTGTATTCACAGTTTGATAATGGAGAGAAACAAGAAATATCGACAACTGATGAATAAATCAATAAAACTTTCTTGTTCGCGTTACCTTTTTGAGAAATCTTTCGCTTGGATCTCAAGTAAAAAGAAAAGAAATTCTATTATAAAGTATCACTAAAAGTAATAAACGCAAAACAAGAAAATCAAATCAAAGAATCAAAAACTACCAAAAAACGTACCATCCAACAAATCACGAATTATCCAATCAATCAACCCACCCATTAACCAACCAAACAGCCCATCAAGCAAGCAACCAATCAATCCATAATCAACCAATCATCAAAGAAATCAAGCAGAAAGTTATGATCAGCTCGTCATCTTTTAACAGCTTAGAAGGTTCTRACCATCCAATTCGTTTCGCTTGGGGTCAAACCGTGGAAAAACCTCAAATCTTGATATGTGACTAGTYAACGGGTCTTGCACAAGACATGGGTCGTTCACGCTTTGAAAAAAGTACAAAATAATGCATTAGAATCAAATCAACTACACTTGATTATCTTATCTTGTTTTAACTGACTTACATTTTACTACCAAAGCTAACTCCAGGAAGAAACGATACATCTGTTACAACTAACGGATTTGCTTCACCATGACTGAGAGAAAAACAAGAAAAATAAATACATGGACCTACGGATGAATGGATGGAGGAATGCAAAAGAGAAATGTCATGGAAGAAAAAATATAAAACAAATGAACAAATGATGATGAAATTGTTGCTTGCTAGCAGTGTATGCCACGGCGGACATATATCATGGAAGAAGAAATAAAAAACAAAATGAATGAATAAATAAATGATGATGAAATTGTTGCTTACTAGCAGTGTATGCCACTATTATAGTGTCTGTGCCCTCTACTAGCACTTATCGACTCTAATGGTGATATACTGGGTAATTTTCCTATACCACCGTAGCTAGTAGCTTCAGCTCCCCAGAAGTTAGACCTCCTAATTAATAAAAAAAATATTTGATAGTCAGGATAATAAAGCGMGAGACTAAATTTGGAATCAGCTCGTGCGCGCGCACAGAAGACGCTTGTGATATGTAACAAAGCGTACGTCGWAWTACTCACCTTGGACTTGGGTATTGTTGGCACTTGACCCATCCTGGATGAAACAAATCACTCGAAATGAATGTAGGTGAGATTTGTATCATACAATGGCCTACTAAAGACTTCAACGCAGCCATTTTTAGCCAATTGCAAGATTCATATTACGTCATATCGTTGAATGACGTCATTATCGATATGACGTCATAATTTGTAGACGTACGCAGTTCGTAAATTTAGAAATAATGTGCTGATTTGAAGAATAAAATAAACCAATTTGGCAAACGTTATCTAGCAAGACTTGAACCGCGATTTTCATATTCTGAGTTATTTTATTTCTTGAAAAGCAATAATTTTTTTGAAACAATGACAGCCCTTGTCCGTCTAAGCGAAAAAAAAAAAAAACACAAAACGTATAGTGAGGATGTTGCGGGATAAAGGTAAAAAGAAAATATAATCAGAATGTTACTGACTATTAGTATAAATGTTTAAAGATAAAGATAGAGGACTTTACTTTAATATACACTCGATGCTCATGCWGCTGGTGGGTGAGCACCTTTGTGAACATTTATTAGATTGCATCCCCTGCTTGTACCGCACATTTTTTACTACACAAACATCAAGATGACAAGCTTTAATACCTTAAAATTACACAAAGTATACTTAAATATTGATATGATATACCTAATTGTACAAAACGTTGAATATCAAAATAATGTACAAAGAAAGCGTTCAGCTTGAGTGGTCTCAATCTGCAAAGGAAATTATTAACACGGAAGAGGGAAACTAACAATCATCTCATGCCCTCCTTTCCCATTTTCCTTTCCCATTTTTCCTTTCCTTTCCGTCTATCAAGCAGGTTGATGCTGACTTACTTCTGCGAGAATAGAGTGAGTAGCTTGCTTAGACCATACAACGTCAACCCACCCAATACCGTGGCTAAGTAGACCTGAACAAAAGAACTTGTAAGAAGCGATCGAAGAGAGAAACCCGATGAACGATTCTGTCGGCTCGATCTCTCGCTAGCAGCCGACAAAGCATTTTGTCGTGACTGTCAACTTTTCAAGTACGGCAAGTTGTCGTTCGTCAACTTCCTCCTCGATTAAATCAAAATATATGAAAACAAACTGCTTGCAGTATTCAAGGCAGTCACTTTGAAGCAAGAGGTAGTTTTTGTCGGCGATTGTCGCCATGATCACTTTGAGTGCTTGTAAAGAGAGTGTTAAGGTGCCGATATATAGACAAACYTCAAACTTTGGTTCTTTCMCGTTCAAATGAATTTCATCAGCTTGAACGTAGTAATGGTCATCGGACCGTAATACCACATGAAATCGACGAATGATTGATGTAGATTTCAGGCACTCTCCAACARCATAGYYTGTTAGGAACTCTTGAGCTATAACATCTAAATTTGTCATATCCTTTCCCTCAATGACCCAGATTGCAGCGTGCACATCATGTACGACTAGGAAGAAAACCCAGTTTGGCCAGGATTCTTCGTCTTCTTGTTTGATCTTTGGATGATCGAGTATTCCGTCGTACTTTTTGTTCAMGACATCCCATACAATMTCCATGGTCTCCTGATCAAAGCCTGACTTGATAGTTTGGTCTTCYTTTAGACCGAGTTTTTCCTCCAAACGACGTTTTCTCAATAGTTGAGTCATGTTACAAGTCCCAATACAAGCTTACACTACTAACGCAGTACTGGATTGTAACGAAGACAACAGACGACAAAACAGACAATAGACCATAGACAAAGCTTAGTAGCCACGTCTTTGGTGCAATTTGAAAAGTGATGGGCCCAATGAGTAAAACAGTTTACTTGCAGGATTCTTTCAGACAGATTGTGATGCTGGAGCACTTATTTACAAGTAAAACTTTTACAAAATGAAAAAAAAAACTTTAAATATATTGTAAAGGAAATACAATATTGTGGTTTGATGTCATGCAGTGCATTCAACATACAATAGTCAATGGTTAATTTAACTTTAATTGACTTCAATAACCCTTTAATAATTACATTTAGTATGGTTTACAAATTAATAAAAAAGTATTAACATATATCTACAAAATATAAGTACAATTTCATAGGAAATTAAGATTTTATTGCTATAAAAGATAAAAATGTTAAAAAGTTTATTAGAAAATAACAATAACCTTGTTAATAGAGCATAAAAATTGTATCTCTGTGATAGTTTTGACAAGCATAGAGTATAGTGCTGTACAATCACTTCAAATAGACTGCCTTCAACTCTGTGGTTTTTGAGCTAGTTTTCACTTGTGGTATAGCTCTTGTAATTGCGTAAGAGACACAATACTCAGTCTCATACATCTTCTAGTAGTTGCCTATATCTTCTTTGTATTAAACCACTAGTTGAAGCCTTGAAGAGTGTTTTTTTTTCTTGCCATATCTACATGATGACGCTCAGGCTCATACTTCTGTTTACTTTATGCCCAATAACCCTTGTATTTCTTGGAGGGTTTTGTGTTGCCATGTTTTGTTGGGCTTGCTTTAACTCTCTGTAAGATATAGATGATGAAATGATGAATGAAATGCAAAATGGGTACAAAAAACAATATACAGTCAACTCTTGCCTTACAAACACCCCACTTTAATGGAAACCTTGATATTGTGGACACGAAATACTGAATCCCGTCAAAAATACAAAGAAATGACTGAAAGTAACTCCCTTTAGTACAGACTCTCGCTACTGCGGACACTAAATTACAGTCCCGAGGGTGTCCGTATTAGCGAAAGTTGACTGTATTGACAAATCTGACAGGAAAATGAATTATTCATGTAATTTCTACCTTGATAATATCTCATTTTTGAACTTTTCAGTGTTCAACTCCTTTCTCAATTGAGCCTACGAAGTAAAATATATATCAGTAACTACAGGCTATCTTACTCGTTATTAATTAAACTATAAAAAAAGTATTTATTTAAGATACCTTGGTTTTATTTGCCAGTGGACACAGGACATGATTGTGCATCAGTGCAGCAGCTGAAGGTCGAAGGTCTGGTGATGGATTTACCATCATCTAATATTGAATGAAAAATGAATGGATGGATGAAAAATGAACAGATGGATGAATGTTATACAACATAAATGGGATTGACATTTGAATGCATATTAATGTTGAAGAAAATCTAAGATTGAGTTCAATATTATTTAGTTATTCGTTGAATCTAATTTACATACCCTTAGCAGATCATTGAATTCCTGTGAAGCTTGAGCAAGCAGTGGTAAATTTCCTCTTCTAAAGTAAAACAATTTATGTGTGCAATTAAATAATAATAACAGCAATAAGTGTATGTTTTATGAAATACTTCAAACTGACATGAAATAAAATATCAGAGGTTTGTATGGTTGTTTTATTGGTGTGATGTATTGAATTTTTTTTAAAAAAACAAACCTTATCTCATGCCATTCTTCTCCATTCTTAGGTAATTCATCACCACCACCCTATTGACAGACACAAGTCAATATACTTTACTCATACTGTATATTATAAACAATTTACAGCAATAGTACTTACTGCAAGATATACTGTGAGAGCCAGCGCAAATATATCAGCCTTTTGAAGACACCTAAAGTCCTGAAAGATAAAATAGAATGTAACTATTTCTTCTTGTAAAAAATTTATTAAACTTAGTGATTACCTCTTGGAGTATTTCATTCGGTAAAAATCTGCAATCTCCTTCTTCAACTTCTGGAGATGTTATGGATGTGACATGACCTAGATCACCTGATAGCAAACCGATAAATAAATGTTAGTTGGTGACATATACTGAATGCTTAGAAACTAATTTATTGTATTTTCTCACCAATTTTGTAATAAATGTGTTTCTTTTGGCTTGGAGGAGTTACACAGTCATCAATTCCCTCATCGCTACTGCTGCCAGAATGACCAAGGCATTCATCAGTTTCCTTGCTATGTGTGATGAAAATATTTCCTAAAAATAATTGATTTTACATCAGTTACAATGTAAGCTCCATAACACCCTACTCTGTCCTTTTGGTATCCCTGTAATATCCTCTTAGCAAAGAAAGAGATTTGTTCTAAATATTTTCAAGTGGGTTACAGTCTCCCAAGTTATATGAGACAAACAGGAAGCCCAAGTGTATTACAAAGAACAAAAAGCTACTAAAAGTCTGCTTACCAGGTTTTATGTCCATATGTACAAGGTTTAGAGAGTGGATGTATTTCAGTCCTTCTGCTAGTTGTAGCAACAGTGTTTTAAGATCTTCCTCACTTAAAACTTCACCTAACTTTCTATTATTTTCAATGCGATCAGCTAGACTTCCACCTAAAAGTCATGATTACAAGTTATTGCTCTTTTTCAATCATTCCCATGAGATTCAAAAGATAAAAGACCGGCGGCCATGTTGGTTGAATMAACAARAGATACTAATTAGAAATCCTTTGTTGAAGTTCAACCAAGATGGCGGCTGTGACGTATTTGCAAACAAAGAATTCTTTATGACGTTATGGATGTTATTCTACTTTGTGTTCAAAGTTCACAAGATATTAGTATGTGTAGCATGGTTTACCATCACAGTATTCGTTCTGTATCAACATGTGGTTGTCTTCAGCCCATGCAGAGTAGTACCGGACAACATGGGGATGGGTACCAAGAACAGCGTGGGCATATACTTCACGCATGGCATTTTGTCTAGAAAAAAAGGATCAATATTTATAACTAATCAATAATTATTACAACATGAACTGCAGTAACCAACTGAAGAATTCAGGGTATTCAAGTTGAAATACATTATATATTGTATGTTGACTTACTCGTCAACTGATCCTGCAACTGGTTTGAGTGACCTTTTCAGAGCATAAACACATCCATCTAGAAAGAGAAAACAGCTTTAAAGTCAAACTCAACTCATGTCTTCCATAATAWCTGTTAACAGGCACAAGAAACAAKGGACTGCACTTCAAAAMAAKCWGAATATCAGTTAGTGTAAAGCAAATAAAGAATGATCATTTTGTTGTGTAAAACTACAAAACCTTTGGAGCAACCTCARTGCTATGTGCAGGTTATGTGCGATATTTTATTACTATTACCTAATCTATTGATGCACTTGTGGACAGCTCCAAACTGTCCAGATCCTATAGTACAAAGCTCAACAAATTCTTCATGATATCTTGAAATATTACTCTCATGAAGTGCTAGTCTCTGCAAAAGAAAAGCGAGAGAATAGCTTTAAAATATTGTGGATTTCTAAAATAATCCTTGCTATAAATGAAGGTATTTCCAAGATTGTACATTGATTGTAGTTGTACCTTGGCTGGATTTCCAAATATGTTATCATTTTCATCATCATCATCATCATCAATAAAATCCATTGGGCTTTCCCTAAAAAAGTTATGTGTTAGCTAATGAAGTAAGTACGATTTATCAAGTATAAATATCTATAGTTTATATGTATATTTTTAAACATAAATAAATTAACAGATCAGGATAGAGTTTTAGACTAACTGTTGTGTAACTTAATATAGCAAAAATAAGAAAAATATAGAAGTAAAATACGTGTTATTACCTTATCTTTCGAGTTCTTTTATTGTTATTATTCAAACCATTATTAATATCAGGAGTAAAAGGGTTAACATTCGCTGTAATTCTTGCTTTGTTTTGAACTTTAGGATCGGTCTTCGCCTGTCTCCCAAAACCTAATCCGCGACGCAATCTTGAAATTTTACGATTTTCAGCTCTTGCTTCGGGACTCCCAGAGATACTGGACCTTTGAAGTAAAGTTCTTGGTGTATGTGGAGTGTCAAATAGTCGTAAACCACCGATAGCAGGAGGAGAGAAAGGTTGAGAATGTGTTTGGTCGAAGTCCATCTGTTTTGATGGCGAGCCGTCTTCCTCCATGGAACACAAACGAGTATTATTTGGAGGGCTTGAAAACCCCGAGTCCCAAAACTCTTCGACGTTACTAGGAGCGTTTAGTGTTGTCCTTATGAATGATTCTTCTCCTGAACTATCACAATCTTCAATAGAAACATCGTTATAATCATGTTCTGGTCGCTCGTCCACAAAATCCAGTGGTCTTCTTCGAAGTCTCGTGAAGGCCATTTTGAATCGCAAATTTGGATCCTTTTTCGAGGGAAAAAGCTCAGTTAACTTGGAKAATATGTAATTTAGGCATTAAACTGATTCTATATATCGTGCTTGATTGTCCAAGGCCCAATTTTAAGGAGATATTGGAGTTATAGATGTCTAATTGTCGTGTGGCCGTTGTTGTAGTAGACTGTCGAGGTGTGTTTCAGTCATACGCAAAATTCAAAACGGACCACAAAATTCTGTCCAATCAGAAGAGAGGATTTGACAGTGATGCTTGAAGCGTAAAATTTGGCGGGAAAAATCATCACGTCCGCAAATATACCGTCAGTTTCAAGGTTTTTTTTTGAAAAAGTAAATCAGCTTAGAATTTTAAAATAAACGCTGAGCTTAACATTCACCATAAAGAGCAACGTTTGGAGAAGAAGGTAAAGTTAATAATAAATTGGGATTCCTGTCTATTCATGTGGCTGCTCGGATAAAGTAGCCTGGGTTCTAGTACAAGGCTTGCAAAGTCTACTGGGACATTTCTAGTGCTAGTTTCCCTCTCCTTTCATGACACAATCGTAAACGGTAGTACAATGGTATTTTAATTTTGATTTTATTAGTGATATCTATTTCAAGCATGTAAAGTTCAAGCATGTAAAGCCAGAAAGACACATTATTTGTGCGTGTTTTGTTTATTTTGATGTGTAGCGAGTAAACTAGATGCCAGAAGTACTTCTGGCGATGTGAAGTAGTTCAGTGGATGACAGTTTGCAAAATTGCAAAAATTGTAAGGATGTGAACCAGGGATACGGTAACTGTGGGCTTGTTGCTTGTACTAAAAGAACTTGGATCTCCTGTAAAAAATGAGACAAAGAAATAATCCATGAATAAATGAAATGAAATGAAATTCCAGGAAGAAATAAGTAGCACTCTATTTGAATCAGGACACGTGAGATTTTCTAATGAAATATTTTAGATTCAAAAAAATTATTTATAGGTCTTTATACAGTCGCCATAGATATTGCGCACCAAAAACTCAACAAACTGAAATATTTTACCTTTTTTCACGGTAAACATGATTTGTCCAGGAAGAAAGCAACTTTTTTCTGTAAAAAAACAACAATAGCTATTCAGTAAAAAATGATGTGCATGTCATTTTCATCCAACACCACGGGCGGCTTTGACGTAAAGAGCGCATTAAGAACGCGAATGTCACCGCGACGTCATTACGAAAGAGGACCGTTGAGAAGTCTTTTGTTGGGTTACCTTTGCATGTGCATTTGATTTCTTCGGCGTGGTATATCCCAAGGTACAATGGTTTGCATTCCGACGCGGTTTCAGCTCCTAKAAYAGTAGAATGAAACWAYTACTGAGAATATATATGATTGTATGGCTAAGAGTGTAACGAAAGGAGGCATGCAACCTATGTCWTACCTTCACAAGGATTTTGAACCGCTATTTTTTGAGTCTGACCATCAGCTGAACAAGGGAAATATCATGATAAAAACGTGAATCTTGAAATGTTAA